AAATCGCTCTCCACTGTAGACTACTCGATTGAGCATAATCTAGCGTATTCGCTTATATCTGCATCTCAATGATAAATGGTCGGGCTGGAATGCATGTGCTCAGCAAGGAGACCGTTGCTACTCTGCGCATCACTAGTTCTTACATCTTTACAAGTAGTTCAGTGATTACTGATGGTAACAACGCGGAATCTGAAGCCGCTCACTACATATGTGTTGTCAGAGCAAGTATGCAGGCAGGGCTGAACTTGCGTACCAGAAGCAGGGAGACCGTTGCTATTTTCTGTATCACTAGTTCTCCTACTTCTATGAGATGGGTATAGACATGGTAATGCGGAGCTGGAACGCGTTCCCAGAAGCAGGGAGACCATGACTATTCTATGCATGAACTAGTTCTGGCATCTATGGAACGGGTATAGTAATGGTAAACGCGGAGTGGGCGGACTTCGGAGCCGCGCACGCTGTAGTGATTGTCGGAACGGGAAGCGCGCGGTGTGAGGCGAGGCGGGATGGGGGACGCCTTGATCATTAATCGGAAAATGGTTCTTGGGTTCTTGGGTTCTTACACTTTGACATGAGCTCTCGCATGGTCTACCATGCGAGAAGGCTTCTCAGTATCGAACGCCAACGCAGAGATTTAGTGATCGTCAGAGCATGATGCTTTCATGATATTGGAATGAGTGTTGTTGTTGGGCCTCAAGAGACGGGATGGAGTTGAAAGAGTGAGGCTGTTGAGCTTGAGGAACGGGAAGGCGATGGAGATAGTTCGTTGTGAATATGCGGAGATTTGGGGGTATTGGATATGCCCCGAATATCTGTTCACGAGTTGTCTCGCTCTGCACTTACGCCTGGGTGGATGATTGGATGGTATAAGAAGGAGGGCTCTGGGCTGGAATGTATGCCATCTGCCTCCTTCTTATCATCTTGAAGTGTCCGCAGACACCGAATCTAGACAGAGATTGTGGATAGGATATCATTCTCACATATCGTATATTCGGTTTGACAGATGTATGGACTTCGTACGTGATACTCCTATAGCTGGTGTAGCATGTTTTTGATACAGTAAGTACTGACTTGTATGCTCATACATATCGAGAGCTCGTAAGGAGGATGTAGAAACATGCATGCTACTCTATTATAACGAAACAAGTTATCAGGTATCTCATCTACTTCTTCACTGCGAGATATGCGACATTTCCATAAAACACTCGTCTCTTGCTTATAGTTGCGACCATCAAACTATTTTGACATCTTCGTTGAATCCAGAGCAACCAGATTCGAGGTAGCCTTCTCAAAGTACTCATAGCCACATAGCCCTGAACTGATACTCTGCAGACTCGATATAGAAATACGTATTCTTAGTACGTACTCAGGTGACTACATATACCCAACACGACTGCGTTCCTCATCTTTTATCGTATCTATGTACAGATATCGCTGAGGCGACCTGGTGCGTACAGCAGATTCTGGCATGGCTGAGGGATCACACTGGATGGAGTCAGATTTTCTGCTTCCCTATTCTAGCTGAACAAGCCGTTCTCCCATTCCACTGGCTAGAAAGGGTTAGTGGGCAGAAGACTGGTGCAACATAGATACAATCTAGATGCTAAGATAAGCGATGTGATGGGCATAATGAAATTTGTCGTGAGCCTAAGCCTATGAACTACGCGCTTGACGACTAGAACTCTCGTCTGTAGCTTGATGAGCGGTTAGCGGGAAGTGTACGAGCTGCGACTACTGATAGTATACGCGTGAACCGGTATCGACCGTGTCTTAATGAAAAATACGCGGAGGTGAGCAGAAGTGTAGATGGACATAGTCTCTGAAGCATCCATACAAACATCAGTAGCAGTGATAAGCACTCGTTGTGGTCAATGGAAATGTCCATTACAAGGGTATGGGATATCTACAATATAAACTCAAGCCATGGACAAGCGAAGAACGCCACTTGATGAACCGCATCAGCATTATCAAACAAGACTCGCTCCTAGCACCTGATTTCCTCCACGTTCTACAAAAGACCCTGCTACTCGCTATCGTCATCGCCGATAAGCTTCGCGTAGTCTTCCATAGAAGCGAAAGTGGGCAGGCTCTTGAGCTTCCTCTTCTTGGTCTTGCGACCGTCCTTGTCCTTGTCTTCGTCGTCATCGTCGCCTAGGTTCAATTCGACTGGGACGTCGGCGTCGCTGTCCATGAAGGCGTCTTCATCGTCGAGGTCGAAGTTCTCAAAGTCGTCGTCATCGTCATCTTGGTGCTGGCCACCGACTGCTTCTTCTTCTTCTTCCTCTTCCGCCATGTTCTCATCATCATCATCGCTGCCAAGATTGAGTTCGACACCGCCGTCCATTCCTCCAGCCTCGTCGTCGCTCATCATGTCATCCATGTCGAAGTCGCTGAGGTCATCATCGTCACCACCATCACCTTCAACGTCCGGACGACTCTTGACAAGCGCCTGCCAGATCTCATCATCATCGTCGCTCCCTTCATCGCTGTCGTCCTTATTCTTGTTCTTCTTCTTCGTCTTCCTGTCAGCTTGCTTGGCCTTCCCGGATTTCTCGAAGTAGGTGTGGAAGAAGACTTCGTCGACACGGACATCGTCGACCTTGCGTCGCCAGAACTGCTCGGAGTTGAGCGGGTCGTGCGTGCGGTCGCCGTCGCGGGCGGTGATGAGGTAAGACGCGGCCTTGGAAGTTCCAGCCATAGGCTGCATGATGGACGATCCATGTATACCTGGTGCCTTGGTCTTCGCGTTGCGGAAAGAGAACTTGTCGAGAAAGTTCATGAGAGTGTAGATAGTCGGGTCGGGTTTCTCCTTGATGGGTTCTTGGTTGACAATCTTGGAGGCCAGGACGTGAACAGAAGGGTGATAGTGTGCTTGAAGTGGCAGCAACTCCCATAGACAAGACAGATCAGCATGCGCGTATTCTGGGTCTCGTTTCCGGGAATCGTATGTCACTTGTGCAGGCTTCTCTTCCACCTTCTTAGTCGCGGGCTCATTGTCCTCATCAACGTCCTCGTAGTGCTCATCACCGCTATCATCGGCATGGTCTTCAGGCGTTGACAACATAGTCTTGATGGTCGGGAAGGTAGCTATCAGTTCGTTGACAAGGTACAAGACACCGCAAATAAAAGGTGGCTCGTGCATGTGAATGATCTGGAGTAAGCGCTTGACAAAGGCCTTGACACGCTTGATGCTGGTATCGGCCTTGAGCGAGCGGTACAGCAAGTTCAAGAACATGATGTGCTTTGAGGTTGTCATCAATCGTGGATCCAAAAGAGATTCGTACAGAGTCCGGTAGAAGCGATCCGCGGAGTAGTGCTTCGTCGCGGATATCTGCTGGATGAGTGTCATGGCCTGTATGCTGGTGTTGAAGTTGGAGGAGTGCGTCACTTCGAAGATCATGTTCAGCTGCTCTTCGAACTTTGCGTCGTCGGTTTTGGCGAATGGGAATGCACGGTTGACGCCTGTTAGGATGGCAGAGATCAGCTTCTCTCGCGACTCGTCCTCGACCTTGAAGGCCATGGTTGCCGCTTTTTCAGCCTTCTGCTTAGCCATCTTTCCAGGCTGACCACCGCCTCCCTGAACGTGACCGTATTTGTTTATCCTCTTCTCTTCCTTCTCGTGCTCTTTCTGCTTCTTCAGCAGCCCAAGGAAGATGCTGAAGTAGATTTCCAGAAGCTTGTTGGCGACCTCAGGCTCCTTCAAGCTGAGAACGGTCTGGTTGAGAGTGATGATGGCGTAGTATTTGGCAACGCCACTCTGGTTCGGTCGGAAAAGGAGGTCGGATTCGATGGAGCTGATGATGACGTTCTTCATGAGCGGGTGCGTAATCTGGAGCTGAAGTAACAGGTAAGATGCCCTCGAGGCGACCTTCTTTTCCTTGTCTCCAAGCTTGTTGATGAGCAGGCGCAAAAGGTTCTCTTCCTGTTCCGGCTTCTCCTTCAACAGCTCCCAGACATATGTGACGGCACGGTTGCGCGAGTATTCGACCTCGTCGTTGGACCAGGTTTCCAGGATCTTCAGCAGCTCAAAGTATTGTTTCTTCAGCCAGTCCTCGTATGCCCAGACGATCAGATGTGTCTTCTCCAGAGCGCCCGGCAGCTTGTCGCCTACCCGCCATTGTACGTTCTTCCCTTGCAGTGCGGCAGTCAGGCCTGGCTGTCGCGCAAAAGCCTTGAGCTTTCGGTCTGGCGGTAGCAAAACGCCCTGGCCCAGCAGATCCTTCAGCGCAGCCAAAGCCTGCATGGCAGCATTTCTGCTCTTCTTCTGCGATAGACCCATGAGCTGTCCAAAAGCCTTTTGCGTGTGCAGCGGCGACTCTTGAACCAACAAGGTCAGCGCAGACACCTTATCCTCCATGGTACCAGACTCCATTACGGTCGACATGAACTTATGTGACGAGTCCTTGGCCAGGTGGGACGCTGCATACTCGCTGGCCTCTGCGTCGAGGAGCTTGATGGCATATTCGTGGATGTTGTCGATGATGTAACGGGGCGGGATCGTGGGATTTTCGACGGTCGGGAGCGCTGGCAACTCTATCGCATGCCATTCTGGCTGCGGCTTGAGCAGCTATGCAAAGTTAGCAACGTGATGAGTTTTTCTTCTCTTGATCAAGCGCACCAGCTGCGACCGCGGCTTCTTCGCGTCACCGTCCTTGCGCGTGTCTTTCTTGTCGTTGCGCGCGCCATGCTTCCTGTCGTTCTTCGCGCTCATCCGGTTCTTATCCGGAGAAGGCTTCTTGAAGCCATCCTTGGTCTCGGCATGGGTTCGCTTCTGCCCCATTTGATTTGGTCGGTGTCGCGGAAGGTGGAGCTACAAGGTCCGTCAGAGAAGAAACTCTGACCGTCATGACCTTGAAAAGATTCCAGTCGCTCGCGAGAGCACTGAGTCGAGATTTTGGAGGCCTTGGCATCGGCGTTTTGTGTGGCTAACGGCATGTGGGCTAGCGCAGTGGAGCCTTCATCGTGGTGCATATTGCGACACAAGTGCGGACTTTGGAAGCACCTCCGTGCGGCCATGCTGTGACTCAACTGGTTGCTTTGATTCAGGGTCTTCTACATCACACTTCCATTCGGTCCTAACGTCGACATACCAAGAAGACCAGTTGGTATACGTCGTCACTACCAACACATCCCCCACCAACTACCCCGCCAGCTCGCATATGCTGGAGTAAGGCAAGCGCGCAAGGACCACGAATACCATCCGATATCATGGCTACCGGAGCTGGTGATGAGGATTCCAAAATATCCATCACACCTCTTCTCAAACGACTTTGGCATGAGTCACCAACAACCAAGCCAACAGCCGACGAAATTGCAGCAGCCCTCTCCTTGATCTTCACGAACAGTCTATCGGAAGTTCAAACTGGAGCGCTGTTGACATGTCTCCACTTCACAGACCAAGACAGACAAGCAGAAGTATTAGCGAAATGCTCGAAAGCGATGCGCGACTACGCTACTGGCATTGATGTCAAGGGTCTTCAAGAACTCATTAGCCAACGGGGAAGGAAAGAGGGTTCCTACCAGGGAGGTTTATGCGACATAGTTGGTACAGGAGGTGACTCACACAACACCTTCAACATCAGCACTACGTCGTCCATCCTCGCCAGTGCTCTCCTCATGATCGCAAAGCATGGCAACAAAGCATCGACATCACGTTCTGGCTCCGCAGACCTCCTGTCTTGCGCACCCCCTAAACCACCTGTCATCACCGCTATCGCACCCAAGACCATCTACGAAATCTACTCGAAGACGAACTATGCTTTCCTGTTTGCCCCGATCTTCCATCCTGGAGCCAGACACGCAGCTTCCATCCGAAGGCAACTGGGCTGGCGCACCATTTTCAACCTTCTCGGTCCCCTCGCAAACCCGCTACATGACTTGATCGAAGCGCGCGTCTTAGGTGTAGCAAGGAAGGAAATTGGACCCGACTTTGCCGAGTCGCTGAAGCAGTCTGGCTGCAGGAAGGGCATGATCATCTGCGGTGATGAGGAACTGGATGAGCTCTCGTGCGCCGGCCCAACCCACTGCTGGCGGTTAGTCGAAGATCCCTCTACAGGCGAAACCAACATCAACTACTTCACTGTAACGCCAGCGGACTTTGGACTACCCGAGCATCCACTGAGCGAAGTCAGTCCTGGACAATCACCCGAACAGAACGCCCAGATCTTGATGAAGATTCTGATGGGCGAGGTTCCACCGGATGATCCAATCCTACACTTCGTCTACATCAATACCGCGGCGCTGTTCGTTGTCAGTGGTATCTGCGATGCAGATACGAGCGATATGGGCGAGGGTGATGATGGAAACGTCATCAAGGAGGTCGGCCCCGGAGGTGGACGCTGGAAAGAGGGTGTCCGGCGAGCCAAGTGGGCGATCTCAAGCGGAGCCGCGTACAGCGAGTGGCGAAAGTTTGTTGAAGTCACAAATAGGGTTGCGTAGGATATGCTTCAAACTATTTACGCAAGTGTGCGAGTCGTAACGTCTCGATTGCCAAGGGTTTACTGAGTGCCTACATTTACATAGATGTCGCTATACGATAAACGTATTTGATGATTCTGGTCGAACGTCCAGGATCTCTTTATATCTACCAAGCCGAAATCTTGGCCTTCTTCGCAGAATAAAAACTCAGGATCGACCTCCTGCTCGTCCTTCTGACTGCATGGGAAAGCTGCAGAAATTCCAGTACACACCTACTCCACTTTCCTTCATCCAAGATCAACCCACATTCCTTCAGAGTGATGTTCTCTATTGTGATCCAAGTAGCGCATACGATGCATTGCGGCGAGCGTGTCTGTGACGGATGTTCATGGTATACCTCGACGTCCATTGGCTGGCTCCACTTGTCGATCCATGGTATGGTACGTTACTTATGAGTCAAGTCAAAGTTACAAATTCTTGAGCTGGGATCGTTCAGCTGTGAACGTTTGAACAATTTCCACATCGTCAACTCCGCTTACCATGCAACTCGCAAGCCAAATGAGCTGCATCATCCCGTACGACCCGGAGCTGAACGACGGGATAGACTTTACCCCCACCGTAATCAAAAGATGGAAGCGTCTCCGGGCCATACGACCAGTCTTCAGTGCGCGTGCTCTATCGATAAGAGAGAAAGTAAAAAAAGCAACGAAGGAGATTCGGCGGTTGAACACAACTAGAGACGCGGAATTTCAGTATGCTTGTAGGAGAAGGAAGACTTACCGATGGATGCTCAAATGTTTGAAGCGGCAGCTATCCATGTGCACCAAGTAAGGCTGAGATGACAAAATGCAATATGGAAATCATCAGACTAACAAAATCGCAGAGCCATTTGTTCGATAATGAAAAACGCAGGTCTCCCTAGATATGCTTATAGCAGCTGTCGCTCGCTCGAATCCGGAGTCAATGCTATGCCCAATGAGCTCCAGGATATCGTTTTTGACCACTTGCTTGATCATACTCTTGTGCCTTATAAACATCAGCCGTATTGTCAGGAGAGTGCAGACCTACAGAGCGGTATACAATCCCACATCGACTTGGAACTTGAGTGGGGTGATCGGAGGGCCGGAGACCATGAGCGGCGGTACCCGGTTTTCGACGCGCCGCACTTCATGAAGAGAAAATTCGCACAACCGGAAATGGTCGCCGCCCTCGTAGAACGAGCGAGGTACAAGATCTTGAGAAAAAGAGAGTGTACATTCGTCGTCCAAACAAAAGCACTCCTGCATTTCGGTACAGCGCACTCACGCGCTTTCGGTGTGCCGCTCGCGGGTTTTCACCGCATAGACCGCACGGTGCAGTTGAATATTTGCCCGAAAGAGATCCTGGGAGGCATTCGAAACAAATGCAAAAGACTATGGGAGAAGGACTGGGAAGCTATCCCGAAACATGTACGGAACCTGATCTTTACAGCCGCGGAACCCGTCGAGAGGGCAGGTGGTCGTTTGGTCGTTAAGGCTGAAATGCCACGGTGGAATTCCATGCCAGGCACCTTTGATCAGGAGCGGTACATGACTGTAGTTCGGAAAGTCATTGAGGAGTTGGAAAGCCGGAAGCTTGCTACGATAGACTTCTCTTGGTATTCGCCACCACTGAAATAGAAGTGATATAACTTTCGCGTGCGCAAGTACCGCAGGTATCGCTGGATTGGTAGACACTGTAAACACACGTGTGGCCGAGAGCTATTCCAATGGCTGTCACGAGCTCGTCATGATATAATGGAGCACATGAATCTTTGATCGTTAGGTAGCGAGGGGTGGCTTCGTATGTTGGCTTGGGCTGAGTCGTGCGCTGCAAGACCATTGTAGACTTCGCGCTTTTTGGTGCTTCTCATCTGTTAGACATCTAGTCAGCGAGGCCATTCGTAAAGCCTCTACTTAGACAATCCCACCAGTGCCAACATGTCCGCAGAATAGATCAGGCAGCTGAGATTAGGCAACGTTGTGAGGACTGCGCCATGCAAGGCGTTGTATCTTCGTGAGACTGATGCAAACGTGGTGACGGCCTCGTGAGGTTGAAGTGTGACGCCTCGGCATCTTGTCCGTCTGGGGCTTGGCGCGTCCCATCCAGCAAGCGCGTCAACACGGCGAATGTTGGCTGCGAGAAGTTTCAGTTACGAGAAAATCAACGTCCTCAACAATTGTCCCACCATCCCGATTGCAACGTCCCGCTCGCATCACCACCCTTTTCGCATGAAATCAGAAATGAGCCTCAGGCCACACCGGCTCGGGTCCCGTTTTTGGATCCGGGCCCCTTGCTCAGCCCGCGCTTTACGAAGGCGCACGGCCGCCGAGGTGGCATCACACGCAAGACAGCGAATCTTCTCGACACGAGGTCACGCCGACAAGACAACTAATTTTAGGAGCTAACTTCATTGGACGCGTAATTAGTCTTGCCAACAACGACGCGACGATTTTGCATCTGCGGCATACTAACCTGTAGTGGTGTGTTTCTGGGGACTAGCGTTTGCGGTACGGTATCGATTATGTATCAGCATAGCGAGGTCGGCGCGCATATGCGCGTGGTTGGAAACATGGTTGGGAAAGCAACATGTGGTTGGTGGTGCGCCGTTTGACGTTTGACGTTCGACGGGCGCATGAGGTCGCATACTGCATGGGCAAAAAAACGATGGAAAGTGGAGGATGTGTCAGGGTAACAGGCCATTGGCTGGGGAAATGACGACAAGATGTGCATTGTTCCTATAGGAACATGGTTTGTTTAGTGGAACCACACGGGCTGGAAGAAGCGAATTGGTTCCTGAAACCCGGGGCAGGAGCATGGCTGGGAAAATCTCGAGGCACAGTACCCGACCGCAAGCGCCTGAGGCTCACCACCCGAGTCGGCGCGACGGGATACAAGCTCCCATCTCGACTCTCACTGCAACGACGTTCAGGCATCCATGTCTAAAACGTTTATAAGATCGCCATCTGGACGCCTGAAAGGAGAAGACCATTCAGTGAAAAAATCTCCGCCTCGATCACGAACACGAAACATCCTCGCCACGGAGGGTTCTATAATTGGCTGTGGAGAACCGCTAAGGCCTTGTCAGGTCGCCAGTTCGCCTGTTCCGGGATAGCATGGGGCTCGCGTTAGGGCTGGTTGCCGGGTCAAAGTGGCGCTCCAGGGCCAGGGCTAGCTCCGATGCTTGTTTCTTGGGTGCGGGTGAAATGGCAGCAGAGGCAATAAAAGGAGGACGCGTCTCGCGCAAAGCCTGAAGTTTGCTTCTCATCTCGCATCACTCAATCACTACTCGCATTCTCACGACTTGACATATCTTCAGTCAAAGACTATCGTTTAGAGAGATCAATCGTTTCCAAACAAACAACACACAACCGTCAATATGCGCGCCTCCATCTTCGTCTCCGCTGTTGCTTTCGCCGTTGCGTCGGCCCAGGTATGTTCATCATCTCACGATTCATGTTGAACAGATCACTGACTTTCATCCAGGACTCTTCCTCTGCCCCTTCGTCGTCCATCGACCCGGCTCCCCAGACCACCTACCTCACCCAGACCAACTCTCTCGGTGTCGTTACTGGCATGCCCGCTGCTGATACCTCCATCGCTACTCAGCCCGATGCCGTAACCAGCCAGCCTGCTGCTGTTACCACCCAGCCAGTACCTGCTGACATCCCCGCCGTCGGCCCTGGTGTCCACACTCTTACCCTCGCTGGAACTGGCACTGGCTCCATGGTCAACTCCACCCGCACTGTCACCGTCAGCGCCAACAACAGCACCACTGTCGCTCTTGTTGCCTCCCCCACCAGCGCTGATGCCGATGCTACCGGCAGCGGTGCATCTGGTAGCGGCTCCGCCGACGCCACTGGCACTGATGCAGAGGCCTCTGGCACTGGCGCCGACGGTGCTGACGCCACCGGTGCTGCCGTCAACGTCAAGGCTGCCGCTGGTAGCATCGTTGGCTTTGGTGCCTTCATGGCCGCGTTCTTGTAAACGCTCCCCACACCAATTGTTTTGTCGTTTTAGCTTCGAGATTTTATTTTTATGAGGATAGCGGTCCTTGAGATACCTTGGGTCTTGCATTAGCATTGCGTTACACACCTGCATCGCAATACCATGGGCGTCGACACTGGCATGTGTCTTTGACGGGAATAATGTCTGTTTAGTTTAGTCATGGCTTGGATGAAACCAATGGTCATGAGGTTGATAGTACTCTTTTTTGTGTACTGGATGGGAAAATATATCAAACATTCATACTCAAAACAGCTTCTTCCATGCTTTGTGATGTCTTCTCAGGTCTACAAAGTTTGACTTGAACACAAGGTTCATTGATCCACGAACGCAAAAAGTGACCGACCTCGGCACACCTCAAAGTTTGGCACCTGCACACCCCGCCAAACACCACATCCCCAATCAAACTAAAACATGACAGCCACCCCATTCCCCAGACACATCCCTTCAATCCCCTACAGCGATCCCCCAAGTCGCCTCCAAACCCTCGACATCTGGCTCCCCGAACTCCAGGAAGCCACACCCAGACCCAGCAATAATGCGCCATGGCTAATCTACATCCACGGCGGCGCCTGGCGCGACCCCCTCATCGAAGCCCCTAGCTTCACACCCACCATCAACCATCTCGCCGCCTCGCACCCCTCTGCTCTGGCCAAAATCGGCGGAATCGCAAGTCTGAATTACAGACTCTCGCCATACCCCGACCACGCGACGCAACCAAGTGCACCCGACGACCCTGAGCGCTCAGCGAGACACCCGCAACATATCCGCGATGTCGCCCGCGGTATTCAGTATCTCCAGCGCGAACACGAAGTCAAGCGATGGATTGGAATAGGGCATTCCTGCGGAGCAACCCTGCTATGCCAACTCGTTTCCGGTATAGGACTTACACCCGATCTGATCCCTTCGCCGCAACCCGAAGCTATGATTTTGATATCAGGCATATACAGTCTGCCGCTCATGATACGGAACCACCTTCCGCCTACAACACCAGAGTACATTTCCAAAATCTACAAAGAGTTTGTTACCCGGGCTTTTGGCGAGGACCAGGCGGAGTGGCAGGTTGTGTCGCCGGTTGCGGGGAAATATAACGTGGAGCAGTGGCCGGAGGGGAAGTTGCTGATGCTTTGTCATAGCTATGAGGATGAATTGGTGGAGAGGGCGCAGAGGGATGTCATGTGTGTTACGTTGGACAGGGAGGGCTGGAATATTGTTATGGAGGTGGTGGATGATGAGGATGAAGTTAAAGAGGAAGGGAGGAGAGTGGTTAATGTGCGGGATCTAAAGGGTGGACATGATTGGATTTGGGAGGATGGGAAGCAGATTGCGGTTTTGGCTGCTGAGGCTGTGGAGCGGTTAGTGTAAGTTGGAGGTTGGATGTAAGGTGAAAGTGTAGTTATGTTCGCTATTCCCTATAGACATGCGAAAAGTGGAGTTCCAAAGTGGAAGAGAGAGTACTCCGCGAATGATGCTTGCTTTTGCGTGGTATCCATATCCAATAACCCCGATGCGGTCGCTTGCGGCTCGTTGCTATTTATACAGCGTGGTATAATGTACAGTCGTATCCCGTTCCTATCCCATCATCTCTCGTACAAGGACGCTGACTACCTCTTGCTCAGCCTCTCGTCCATGACCCTGTTGATCTCGTTGTGCATCTGGTTGGATCCACTCTCCGCATCATTCAGCTTGCTCTGGAGCTCCTGGACCTTCTTGCTGCTTCCACCCTCCACCATCTTCGATGCTTGCGCCTTTGCTTGGGAAGCGTTGACGTTGCCGTATACTGCCATGGCGCTTGCGATCATGCCGCTCATATCGCCGACGTTGCCGGGAACGACAATGCTTGTGCCCTCTTTAGCCAAGTTGCCGAATGCGTCAACGTACTTCTCAGCAACAGAAAGCGAGATGGCGTTTTGTGCTGCGCCGCCACCCTGAGAGATGGATCGCGCAACTGCGTCGATTCCGTTGGCAGTCGCAGTAGCCTTCAGCAAGATAGCCTCAGCCTCTCCGTTTGCCATGTTGATCTGTTCGGCCCTCAAAGCCTCGGAGGCCAGGATGACCGACTGCTTCTTTCCCTCGGCGATGTTGATAGCAGATTGTCTCTGACCTTCTGACTCTAGAATCTCAGCTCGCTTCGATCGTTCGGCGGTGACTTGGCGGTGCATGGCTTCGACAACGGGTTCAGGTGCGTGGATGTCACGGATCTCGTATCGCAGGCAGGTAACTCCCCAGTCTTGTGCCGCCTCGTTGATCGCAGCGGTGATATTGGCGTTCAAGTTGGCGCGTTCTTTGAGGACGTGATCGAGGGAGAGTTGACCGATTTCGGAGCGCATCGTAGTTTGTGCCAGTTGAGAGATGGCGTACTCTGCATCTTCTACACCATAGCTGGAAATTATCAGTATCGTCGCGACTCTTGAAAGCACGACCTGCTTACCTCGCCTTGTATGCATCAAACACCCTGGTGTACAGGACACCATCCAGCTCTAATGTGACGTTGTCCGCTGTGATGGCACTCTGGCTAGGAATCTCGAGGGCATTTTCCTTGAGACTCTTGACGTAGGCTATCCTGTCAATGAAGGGTACCAAGATGGCAAGACCAGGCTCCAGTATGCGGTTGAACTTTCCCATGCGCTCTACAATCCATGCTGTTTGCTGTGGCACGAAGCGGATGATTGTATTTGCTGGGCGGCGATTCTGTGTCGAGAAGTAAGACGGAACTCCGCCAGACTTTGAGCTGCTTTGGAAAGCAAAGATGTTGGTCGGGTCGGAGGCGGAATGCGAGTTGAGCTGCGAGAAGCTGCGGGCGGAGGATGTTGTCAAAGCAGCAGCAAGCGGCGGTATCCTTGACGTTGTGAGTGGTCTTGAGCTTCGCATTAGTCCAGAAGCCGTAGTGGCTGCCAGCCGTGTGCGCGACGCCATCTGGATTATGGTGGAGTTGGGTGCAAGCGATGATGATGTCGGACACGCGAAGCTCCAAAGTCATCGGCGAATCTGGCAACCATCTCCGACCGCCGCATTATGTAATCTGCCCATTCCTCCTCCAGAGACGTTCCTTCTGCGCTTCCATCACCTCGCTTTCGACATCTTACTGCAAACCCTTCAGCGATCTTAACGTCAATTCAAATGCAAACTCGTGCATGTAACAATTCTTCTGGGACCAGTCTCTATTCTCGAAAGCTTGAGAATATATCTTCACATGATGTTCGATGGATAGAACCTCCAGGCTTGCACGAAAGGAATACATGCTTGAGTTCACTATGCGTCATCCTCTTAGATGAATAGCGTCTTTTGTATGCGCTCCTCGTTTATGACTCTTCCCTTCTTTCTGAGACTCTCACCTTCACTCTTGCACACAGAAGCGCACACGGCCCGTGCTTTCATCGCACTTCCCTCTTCTGTCATCTTTGCCTTGACCTTCTCACCTCCACTTTCGCACTGGTAACTTCCCCGCCACAAGTCGAAACACTCAACATATCAACGGTTCAAGTAACGCAAGATGCCGCCGCAACGATCTCAAAAAGTCGCTCCTCGCCATGGTCTGGATAACAAGCCCAAGAGACCAGCGCGTGGTCAACGCGGTTACCGCAAACACAGAAGCGGTCTACTCAACGTCGAGCCCATCGGGTCGGAATTCGAGCTGTGATATATACCCCATGTGTACTCATATATTGACGGCACTGACCTTCCGCCCAGAGCAAACATAAACGCACGAGATTCTCCCCTCCTTCGCCTACCTGCTGAGATTCGCAACCAAATCTTCAGTCTCGCGCTTGGCGGATCAGCAGTCAAGATGCCATCGAGAGTATGGCCGACGGCGAAACCCGAAGAACATCTCGCGCGCTGGAACCTACTCCGTGTCTGTCGCCAAGTCTACGTAGAGACAGCCATGATCGCGTACACCACCATCCCCTTCTGTTTTGCTGCTATCACCGATATTACGCGCTATTTGAGGACATGCAGACTTCAACACGTACACGCGATCCATTTTGGGGCCGGCTTGTCGGAGATGAGAATGGCCCCCCGAAACAACGCCTGCGCCCGCTTCTTGCGTGCCAAAAGTTTCAGGGCCCTTCAAAAAGTCAAGATCACACTCTCGATGATCAGTATGACACCCGCTGGAGAGTCTGCCGCGGTGGCGAGGGTAAAGGAGATGGTTGAGGCGTACCTCCCGGGTAAAGAAATCGAGGTATGCAAGGGAACTTACTTCGAACACCTTGCATACTGGGAAGAGTCTTGAAGTGGGATCTGCGTGGGTATCGATTTCGGCCATCTATCACGAAAGAGTCTTGAGAAGAGAGTGTGAGGGATGTATGGCAGCTGATATCTGGACGTGTACGTGTGCAAACGGCAGAAAGATGTTTATCATGTGACTGAGGCGCAACGAAGATCAGTTGTATGATTGCATCTCATACTAGAGAGAACCCGAACACTTCCCTTGAATATGGTGAGTGGTTTCAATGTAGTTGAAGCGTGTTGCTGAAACCGTCTTGACTATTTGCTGAGGCAGAGCACTATGATGGAAAAGTTGATGCGTTCTCTATCCAACTAACCGCAGAGTTTCCTGTTGCCATATCCTTATTCTTTAGTGGGAACAGCCCAGTTGTTACGACAAATCCGACGCCGCCAGGCCTTTGCAAATGTAGCAAGAAGTGTTCCACTTACCATTTAGGCTTACTTCCCATCCACCGTGCTTGAGGCACAGATAGTAAGGGCAGCAAGTATGCTCCTCGTTCACAGATCCACAGTCCATCCACATCTCGCCTTTCTTGTTCTTGGTCCACTTCACCACACTTTCAATCTCTGGATACGCGCGGTACAGCTCCTTGCGCATAACCTCCCATACATGCTTTTTGATGCGAAAGCTCCTCGGGATCGGCCCATTTGGATTGAATATGAACACCTTACCCATCCCAGATGCGTTCTGGAATTGGCCGCTCACTCGAGTGAAGTTCAGGCTCCAATCTCGCAGAGTCCACTTATCGACATCGTCCGTGTGAGGGCCGTGATTATTGTACGTTCCTGACATGTCCCATGCACAGTCATAACGGCCATTGGTTTGACATCTAATGTTGATATCGAATCTAAACTGCCGGAGTTCGTGGAAAGGGCCGCTCAGCGAGCGACATAGATGGGTGATGTTGCTGGGTACGCCTGTCGTCTGATCCTCAAATCTGAAGGTGATAGAGCGAGGCGTTTGGTTGCGCAGAGATGAGAGCACATCGATGCAGCGGCGAAGTTCTGTGTTGAAGTTTTCCGGTACGCCTATACGCTCTAGACCCTCGTTTCCGTCGACCTGGTCCATGCAGTCAAAGACGATGACTAGACACATGTTTCCCAGGAGCTCGTATAGCGTGTCGTCGGAGTGAAACATCTTTATTGTAGTGAGGTCGTGCAACTTTTTCCACGAGACGTGGTAAGTGGTACAGGACATATCAATTCTATCAGTCCCATCCCTTTTCCCAAAAGCCTTCAGCATCTCTGTGGCCACTTCCCTCCCCCCAAACCACTGATTGGCCAAGTTTGGGAGAAAGCAGTCAAGCTTCCCAGAGTAAGGTTGATTCCAGGGAGCTCTGAGTTGATTATTTCTGTTGTCTCTACGAATAAGCACATCGATAAGTGTTCTCTTGCATGAATCCAAGGCCCGGAGCTCATCATAGATCATGTCGCGAAGTTCGCGCGGTAAGGCAAAGAGTCTGGCTACAATTTCGCGATACGCAGCTTGTGAGCAGCGTAAGATGGCCTTTTCAAGCTCTTCAATTTTGCCATACTGCTTTTGTCTTTTAAGCTTGAGCGTGACTTCTTCGATTGTAAAGTACGACCAATTCTGTACGTCTATCACGAAGTAGTTTTCACTAAACCATTTCGATATAAATCGGGGTTCTTTCAGGTGTGTAGAGATTGAGCTGCGGGGGATATCTTGAAGGACGCTGTTTGCACATAGTTTCAGGTCTAGTTCCACGTTCGCCCTGGCTTTTGCTTTCCCGTCGATAGTCTGTTGTGATGCCATCTTGATATTGTTGTAATAGTGTGTTTTTATATTGTTGATATTGCCGAGAGATGTTGCGATTGTTGAGTTTGGGGGTTCATTGAAGATATGAACGAACTTGACTATGAGTAAGCGGAACAGTCTGGTAAAGAGAACCAGGGTACGCATCGTCACACAACTAAGGAGAGTCTGCAAAGAAGCGAGGACAGATAACTTAAGCGAATCGATTTAGTTTCATTTCCAATGGAGCTACACAGAGCGCTTCCATCCACCTTCCGCTTCGAAGATTTCACCGACCTTGCTGCTGACCGCGAGCAACCGTCTATCGTGGTAGCGAGGCGCAACAAGCGATACCCCGATTGGCATTCCGTTCTCGCCTTTGAAGCCTGGAACGTTGACTACTGGTGTGTGCAGTGCCTATGGAAGCGTTAGTCAAGGTCTCTTAGGCTGGATATTCCAATATGACTTACCGTCCAGATCAAACAAAAGGCCGCACTGCCTGTCTTCTCAATACCTAGCGGCGCTTCGTCTGGCACACTCGGTGTAAGTACCGCAGCGTATCTACCAAGTATCTCATCTACAACCGGTCTCGCTGCCGCGATCTTATCGAAAGCTTCAAGCTGTGCTTTGCGCGAGATCTTTCCACTGTTCTCGACATGGCCGACGAGCTGTTCCGAGATCTTATCCTTGGCCACTGTGTATTCTGGCAGAAACGCGGTTCGGCCGTCAGAGTTGAGTACCGCCGCGTGCCACGCCGGAAGATCGTTTAGGTCATCTGGTAAGCTGATTTCTTCAACCTCGGCGCCGTGCGCACGAAGTAGTGAGACCGCTTTGTCAAGTGCGGTGGAGGTGCCAGGGCCTACGCTCGGCCAAACCATAGTTTTGAGGAGAGCGAATTTCGCGCCTTTCACGGTGAAGTCTTTTGAAGGTGGCGCATCGTCGTGGATGGCGAATGTATCGGCGAGCAGTTCTAGATCAGCCACGCTGCGGGCATAAAGACCCAATGTGTCCAGAATCAGAGAGTAGATCTTCTGGCCTTCGCGAGTAATGGAATTCCATGTGGGTTTGAGGGCATAGATGCCATTGTATGAGCCGGGGCGGATAGTGCTGCCACCAGTCTGGGTTCCTAGACCAATGGGTGCCTGGCAGTCACCCACTGCGGCACCAGATCCGGATGAAGAGCCACCAGGCGTGCGTTTTGAGTCGTGCGGGTTCCGTGTCTTTGGGCCCGTGGTAGTCGCAGCAAACTCCGTGGTGGTCGTTTTGCCGAAGATGAGTGCGCCGCTCTTACGCAGTATCGCTATGGACCCAGCGTCTACTTGGGGCGCGTCATTGGAATATATGGGTGAGTTAAACTGCGTGGGCATTTCTATTATGGTTAATCAAGTTGGAGGAGAGGGTGGTATCAGCAGCTCACCCTTGGTGTAAATGACATCTTTGACAGCGATGGCGACGCCATGCAGGGGACCGCGCTCGGCTTGCGGAATGGCATCAAGTGCTTTCGCCTGCTTGATAACATATTCGGGATTGAGGTATGCCCATGCTTGGACAGCTTCGTCACGCGCTTCGATACGTCCAAGGAGTGATTTTGCATATTCTTCGACAGAGTACTCGCCCGCTTTGATCTTCGCCGAGATCTCGGTGGCCGTAAGTCTATAAAGATCGGAGCTCATGGTGTGATTTGGAATGGCGATTGTAGAAGTCGTTCTTGTGTAAACGCTCGATCGTGCTTCCGTTTTGCTTTCTCAAGTTGGTTGCAATTTCAAGAAGGGGTGTTGGAGACGTGGTCTTTGGAGCTGTAGAATTGGAGACTCGTCCATACACCGAAGGCAACTGGGCTGCGACCCGTCAGCGTCAGCGATGCCGTCGGGACAAAAGGCCCGCATCGTGATAGGCAGCAATTGCGTGTCCCGTCCAGACCCGCTCATAGGCGATAGCCAAACACTTGCCTGACAAGGATATACCGGTTGTACTAATAGGTTGGAGCCGATAACGGCATCCCACCTTTTCGGAAGGTCGGTTCCGATCGGAACCGTTCAGTCTAAGAAACACATGAACCACAGTTCACAAGTCCAGCCGCCCAATCAAATTTCCCGAGTCTGTGCTACGGTGGCGAGGTAAAACGGAAGGTCAGAATAACTTGGTAAGATGTTGTTCAAGTCTATCGAATTTCAATTACAGCAATGTGAGTACATAGTTCCGATTCTGTTACAGTCTAGATTGCTTCTCTGGGCTCAGAAGGTGACCTTTGGTGACTTCTCGCCGATCTCAACATCTTCTCCTCCATCAGTCATGGGTGGCGTTGAGGCGCCATAAATCACTCCATCATCTCTCTCTCCGTCAAAGAAACCCTCGCGACCGTCATTGGCTAGCCATTCACGCTGGAACGGCGTGCTCTCGCGTCCGACAGGAAACACGCGTGGCTTGACGAAGAAGGTAACGACGTAGTACACCGTCGCCGCGGTGAAGAAAGTCAGCAGCCAGCCCATGCGGTACATGTTCTGGGCAGCCGCCGAAATGATCTGTGGCTCGTACTGGCCGATAAGACCAGGAATACCCATAGTTGTACCAAGTAGCCAAGCTGCCACACCACTCCAGTTGACACCAGACCAGTACCAGTAGAGGCCCGTCTTCTTGCCATCGTAGCACGATGGTATATGTATGTTTCCTTTGCGCGCGATGTAGTAGTCGACAATGATAACGGCGCAAAGTGGGGCCATAAAGATGTTGTAAGAACCCAAGAAACTAATTCATTGTTAGCATGGTAAGTGGGAAACTTATTGGAAAACTTACCTCAAGAAGGCCGATGCGTTCTTCATCAGTTGCCATGGCTGTACGACTACACCAAGAATGGCGCAGAGCACTTGTCCACGGCGAATGGTGAGCCACTTGGGGAAAAGGCCAGTCATATCACTTCCGAACGGAATTGAGTTCGCTCCGAAATTTGTGGCGAAGACACCGAAGTAGAATGCCAAAGCAACGAAGAAGATACCTGCACGCGCTCCGGCACCGAAGTGGTGGTCAAGGATGGCTTCGAAGAGATCCCAGATATTCCAGTAGGCAACACCATATGCTGCCTGCATGGAAGTCGTTGAGGCCATGCCAAGGAAGAAAACGATGATAGAGGACACGAAGACGCTGACACCTTGAATCGCACCAGCATCTCGAGGCTTCTTGCAGTAACGAGCAAGATCAGGCTGATTGACCAACATAGGCGAGAGCGAACCGAAGATGGTGTTGATACCGGCCATGATGCTCCATCCCAAAGGGGTTACCGATGCGGCAAGCTCGCCTTCGCTGGAAGCAAGGTCCATAGCGCCGAGTCCGCCACCGTTAGCCATGCACCAACCGAAGATAGCGAAAGCGGCAACTGGCATGATGAACCCCTTTACGGTGAAGATATAGTGGATGTGCCGGGGATGGACCCACATGAATGGAAACTCCATTAGCCAGGCCATGAAGAAAGCCAAAAGCTGCTTTGAGGTGACACTTGCGGTGGGCGAGAGTGTGTTCGTGAAGTTCTGCCAGGAGCTACCGAAGATACAACGGAGCATAACGGAGAGGATGTTGCCGGCGTAGAAGGACTGAATTCCGTACCAGATGATGCATACAATCGCTCGGATGAAGACGAAGAAGTAGGATCCGTACATACCCATAACTGAGCGTGCAATCACGGGAAATCCAATGTGGTACTTGGCACCTGGACGAGCCATGAGGACGACTACGACTGCTGCTAGAAAAGACCCAATGCAGGCTGATACAAAGGATTGTTGCCATGTCTGTTTACGCAATTAGTTCTCATATTCGGCTTGTATGCTTCGACGTAGCTTACGAGACCGACTGTGACAAGAGCGGAGCCAGTATTCCAACCAACGAGGGAAAACTGATTCGAGAACCAGTATAGAGGCAAATTGAACCTTCATCGGTCAGTAAAAGCTCAAAGACATACTATGTTAAGGTCCTCACCAGGTCCAAGTCCTCTGTTCCACAGGCGTTGGCTCCAGATCTTTGTTAGACCATCTCTCGTCGCCGATTGGGGTATGACCCTCGTTGCCTTGGGGAGACCTGATGAAATCGACAAAGGCCTCTTTCGAGCGAAAGGGTGCCGCGATCTGGTCCCGGGTCGGAAGTTGGACTTTCCCCATGGTGCTGTAATGGTGCGGTTTGGTTGACTACTGGGTGTGGTCAATCCTCCAAATCCTCTTCACGTCGGCGGACCATCTTGTCTCATATGTCGATCGAACATTACGCCAAATCCAAATCGTTCACGTATCGTACGCACATCGGGCTCTGATTGACCAAGGGCAACGCTCCTGGCGAAGCCACTTCGGGCACTTTCTAGCCGATGTGCCATGTTGCCATGCGCGCATCAGTCATTCCCAAGCCTGACATCAGCGTGAGCGGTGCGATAAAGAACAGGGGTGGAGATAGGAGTGTGATGTAGACCTCCGATATGTTGCTTGTTACGGCGTAGTTCCTTTGCAATCTTTGGGGTCTCCAGGCGTCGGATGGTTGCAGCCGAGATAAAGCCACTGGAGGCCCATGCCATCTTAGCCTGTTGTGGATAATATGCGATAAGACACACGTCGGCTCACACATCCCACCTGGGCCTCAACAGGACTATCGCACGTGGGAAATATGGAGCCAAACGGTATGAATCAGAGCCGTAAGCTGCAGGGCTGTCGCATCAACGCCATACTCCTGACGACGAGGCCATGTTGCAGTCCTACCCAGAGAGCCCCGTAAGCCCCTCCGGTCGGGGTGTGGGAACGGTCGCAGACGCAGTACCCGCATCCAATTCTCCGAAGGAAGCTCAGTCGAACGCCTCAAACCCAGGTCCCGCAACTAGAAAATCTCGAGTGGCCTTGGCCTGCAAAAGATGCAAGCGGAGAAAGCAGCGTGTACGTCATGTGGGACGTTGCTTCGTGCACCTTGGCTGAGAATTATGTAGTGTGACGGTGCGCATCCAGTATGCAGATCTTGCCAGCGAGCTGGCGTAGCCTGTGCATATGAAAGGACTATTCGTCCTCAGTACCCCGGCGGCAAGTCTGTGTAGGTTCTTCCCACGGCCATTGGCATGCGTACGAATTGTTTCCTGACCTCTCAGCTATATCAACGCCCTAGAAGAGCGGATCGCTTTTCTGGAGGCCCGTCTTCCTGATCATGCAGAAGACCATTATGAAAATGGTCCAGAGACTTTGCAAAGAACGTCCTCCGTGAACGTTGAAGAGCCGGCTCTCGCTCTTCACCCCCAGTCTAGTGCATCGCGTCGCGAATCCCGAGAAGATTGCTTCTCTGAAGATTTTGAGGGTGAGGATCGAACCTCACTCGTCGACGGCGTTGCATATCTCTCTTTATGTGCATCTGGTACCACAGATACAACCTCGGAGCCTTACTATGTCGGCTCTAGCTCCGGTGCTACCATTGCTCGCATCATCCAGTCCTCCATCTTCCGAAGTTCTGGCAAGAGAGCAGCCACTCAGCCAGTGAACCAGTCGTGCCAGGCTACGGGAACTTCGCGACCTCCTGCGCCTCCCGAGTCTACTCAATCCGATGAGGCTGTCGCGGATTTTCCAGATCGACAGCAGGCGCGCATGCTATTTGACGTGTTCTTCGAACGTATTCATACACGATGGCCATTGCTAGACCGTGTAGTCTACACGAGGCTCTTCGACAAGCAGTTCGTTCGAGGTGCCCTGACTATCATCGAACGCAGCATTTTCCATCTCATATACGCCATTACCGCTCGATTCCTGTCGTTGACGCGGAAGCCGTGTGGGGTGGATTCTGAGCGTCATCTTGTCGCAGCCACCGAGCCAATGGACTACATCCTAGATCAGCATAACCTCGCAACCGTACAGTTTCTCATTTTGCTTGGAGTGCACGGTCAAAGATCTCCATACGGTGCAGGCGCCTGGTCCCAGATCCGATATGCTACCTCTGTCTGCATTGAGATGGGCTTGCACCGTAAGAAGAAGGTCGTAGGTTCCCCTGAGCACGCAAGAGATGCTGAGATCCGACGACGTGCGTTCTGGGCATGTTACTGCCTTGATAGAGTGACTAGCATTGTGCTCGGCAGAGCTTTTGCTATCGCTGACCGAGATATCAACGTCGAGGTTTGTCACCCAAGCAGGTTATGATACGCGAACTGACTCTTCAAGTTTCCCAGTACTAGTCCTGAGTTCTGGACACTCACGCATCCGGAGGAGCCAGACTCGGTCAGGCCCCAGTGGTCAAATATCGAGCCTTTCATACACATCATCAAGCTTGATCAGATCCAGTCGCGGATTCATAAGACAGTCTTCCGCGTTGATAGGGATGTCTTCAATGGGACGGCAGAGCAGCGGGTCAAACTTGACCGGAAGATGGCTACAATTCGGAACGACCTGGACGAATGGCTACAAACATATCCACAGACACCGAAGAATGGGAACAAGATTACTTGGATGTACGATCCCGAAAGCGCATATCTCGATGCCCGAGACTTCTATGGCGTTCAGTATCACAAAGCGATGCTCTATCTCTTCACTGTCTTCCTCCCAACGCTGGACACGTCGGACATACGTTTCCTCACTTGCGCACGCTCTGCTGCTTGTGTCTGTAATGCGTACAAGCGGTTAAGCCAAAATCGTACGCTCACCTACACGATGATCTCCCTACATTCGTGCTTTGTAGCTGGTCTGACACTGGTGTACTGCATCTGGCGAGATCGATCCCTTTTCTCATACGACGTTCTCGAGGCGACACGGGCCTGTTCTCAGATCCTGACTATCTTCGGCGAAAAGTGGCCAGGTGCCGTCAAATACCGTGACATCTTCGATGCACTATCGGGAAGTTTGTTCAAGACAGTTGTAAACTCGGCCTCTACTACAATGATGCATGGTAATGGGTCGCGACCGCTGCAGCTCGACGTGGACGCGGAGCCTTCTATGGCAGGACTTTCACCAAGAAGCCGACGAGATAGCCGCGAGCAGGCGTCACAGCACCCAACGCTGAGCAGCAAGCCTACCATGTCACACATGGTTACTGATGCTGTAAAGGAGGCGTTTATGGAAGTGGACGAAGAGGCGCCAGGTGGGTGGCAGGGTTGGCGGATGTGGAATGAGATGGTAAGCGATGACACCGCATCTGCAGCGATGAGGTTCGACGGCTTTGGTCAGGGTCAGGCCGAGATGAGCTGGAACGCGTACGAAGGACCTGGCCTCTACGGCGTAGACCCCATTCAGGATGCAGCAATGTCGATGGACAGCCGCGGTATGATGGATGGCGGTCAGTGGAATTTTGGAGAATATAGATAGGCCATGTCATGGCTTTAGTCCTGAAAGGTCCCAGCCACTGTAGTCTCATGTGCCCAAATGACCTCGAGTTTAACGTTGAAACAGATTTGATTGCCTATCTACGCGAGCTGGCCCTTCTTATACGGGAACTGCTCCCTGAACGACTCCGCTATTTGCGTCCTAGTCGCAACCCAAACACCCTCCTTCTCGGAGATATACTTGACGAAGTCCTGAAGCGCCTTGAATCGTCCAGGCCTACCAATAATGCGACAGTGCAGACCAATAGTCATCATCTTCGGCTCTCCAGCTTCACCCTCCTCATACAGTACATCGAATGAGTTCTTCATGTGTTCGTAGAACGCAGCCGTACTGCGGAAACCAGTTCCTTGGCAGTGGAATTTGAAGTCATTGCAGTCATAGCTGTAAGGGACCATCAAGCATCCCTTTGGGTTTGCGCTGCTGCGCTCTTGGGGAAGGTCGGTCCAGTAAGGCAGGTCATCGGCGTAGCAATCCGAGGCCCAAAGAAGCTCCTCTCCCATCTCCTCATAAACGAGTGGAATGAGCGCTCTGCTCTGTGGTGATGGGCGGCCATAGTACCATCCCTTTGGCGCATAGCCGGAGAGCTTCTTCAGCGACGTGATACCATCTCTGATATGCTGCTTCTCAGCTTCGACAGAAAGGTTGGCGTGGTCAATCCAGCGGTAGGCATGAGAAGCAACATCGTGGCCCTCTTCTACACATCGAGTAACGACTTCTGGCTGTTCTTCGACGGCGGAGCCGACGGCGTAGAGGGTGAACTTCATCTTGTAGTTGTTGAAGAGCTTGAACATGCGCCACCAGCCGCGGCGGGAGCCATATTCGAATTCTGATTCACCGCTGTAGTCGCGCTCGTTGATCCTGTGTTGGGCTGGATATTCGCGAAGATTTATCTCGGATACTCCGTCACCTTTCATGACTGAGCGCTCACCACCCTGCCGCTTGTTAGTTATGCATCTGAGATAGAATTGCATGTGAACTCACTTCCTCATAGTTGATGACAAAAGATACGGCGATTTTGGCATTGTTGGGCCACTTCAAGCCCTGGAGACCCTTCTCGCCGTAACCCTTGAAGTTACGGGGGAAGGCGTAGTCGGGTGGTGCGGCGTAAACTTCAGGCATGATGGTAGTGTTTGGAAACGATAAGCTCGATTTGATTACAGAAGATGTGGTAAATTTGAAGTAGCAGATACTCAAGTCTTGCGATGCAACATATATGTATCACCAGCGGAGCGTGTCGCGGCGCTCAATCTCCATCGCCTACCTAGCTATCGGCCAATCTCATCCGTGACGTCCTCACGTAATCGGCCATCTTCCATCCTCTGCCGTGCCTCACGATGCGATGTCATTTCTGCGGCCGGTTGTGACCCACCGCGGTGTTATCAGACGGATGAATGTTTATCGGCTTGGAAGCAACCGTATGGAGAACATGGCTTGGAGGGGGATCGTCAATAGATAGGCCAATCTCAAGTCGCCGATAACGACCGGCTTTTGTGGGGCTGCAATGACCTACCTAAGTTGGCATACCAAGGATTGAAGACCAGGTTGATTTGGAGACAATTCTCTAGTAAGTTGATAGTGGGAGATGGGTCTTGCTGCGGGGTAATGTTGTATTCATGTTCCGAAGTCGCTGTTCTACATTCGATGGTCGCGCTTCACTCCCGTGGTCAGTTGATCTTTGGCCATAAGGACAGCGTACGAGGAGGACGAATACATGGGCATGCTACTCACGTGCAAGATCAAGGTTCATACGTGCGCTGCGTATGGATTGCTTTGATAGTTGAACAGTCTGATGGCTATTGTCTACGAGATCCTCCCCTCCCCTCGGGTGAATATGCTGCACGCTACGAAACTTTGATAAATTATGTCTACGAGACTTTTAATTTTTACATATCCACAAGGCCCGAACGAATATCTTGCGAAGATGTCCGTGAGCTCTGATGATGTGCTGTATGACCGCTCATTTTGTGTGAACGTTGCGCTCTACGTCGGCCTCTCCTGTTATTGGCCTTTTCTCATCAAAAACCTCTCTTTCGGATGCGACTTCTTGACCCTGGATAACTTGTTGCTGAGGTTCGTTCTGCGAGACTATCGCCTGCGCGCCTTCTTCGTCCGGCTTTTTCGGCGCTTTCAAGCTGGTGTTTCCAACCCAGAATGTCAGAGCGAGACCCAGACCTGAGCACACTGTGAAAAAGATGAAGATGTAATGCAGACCAAGCATATATGTATCAAAAACCTCTTCTTTCTGGCCTGGAGAGAGACCAAACTGATCGAGGTCATACGTTGAGGAAGTCAGCTGGGCCATCAGGGTATCCGAGACAAAGGGCTGCTTGGACAAATCTCTGCTGAGCGTATTCGAAAGGATAACTCCCGAGATAACAAGACCAAAAGCACCACCGATAGTGCGGATGAAGTTTCGTAACCCAGTTGTTACAGCGCGGTCCTCATTACGACTATTGGCGTACATGCCCACAAGCGTTGGCTGAAGCGTCAGACCAATACCGGCACCCTCTATGATGAGTACGACTATCAATACGGCGAGACCCGTGTCTCGGTCGAATAGTAGGGTGAGGCCATTTCCAAGAGTCCAGAGAGCAAATCCAGCCAGGATGCAGTGCATGTAGCTGGCGACTCTGTTCATGTACTGACCAGATGCAATGGAAGTGAAAGACGTCGTGATAACTACTGGTAAAATTAAAGCACCTGAGACCAGGGGCGAGTACCTGAGGACTGATTGGAAGTAGATCGGAAGGTAGAAGAAATTTCCGAAGTATGCAAGCCCGATGAGAAACGTCTGTAGGTATAATGCCCAACAGTGTGGTGCACGGTATAATCGAAGCGGCATGATCGGGAGAGCGACGAGTTTCCATTGGTGAAGCACGAATAGTACACCTAGCACTGCGCCGGTGATAGTGCAGGCGATGAAGAAGGGCGACGCCCATGCATACGTCACACCACCTCCTGACAAGGGGATGAGCAGGAGTAACGTGGATGCAATGTTCAGTACCATGCCACCGTAGTCAATCTTCTTGACCTTTGCAAGGTAGTCTCCAGAACGATGCTTGAGCGGCAAAAAGAACAGTATGACCATGGAGGTGGGTACAGTCATGATGGGTATTATCCAAAATACCCACCTCCAAGTCGCACCTTCAACGATAGCACCTCCGAGAAAAGGTCCTGCACCATTTCCCAAGGCAATTACTGCACCCAGCCATCCTGAATAGAAGTATTAGCACGGCTTGATGATTGATATGCAATGGTCCTTACCTTGGTATTTGCCCCGATTCTGCAACGTTGTGATATCGCTAACGATGATCATGACAAGACTGTTGATACCGCCACCTCCGATACCAGCGATGGCACGGAGAACGAATAGCTGCACTGCCGTCTTCGCGAAGCCACACCCAAGGTCGCCCAGAGCCATCAACATAAGACTGATCAGCAAGAGATTCTTGCGACCAAAAATATCCGACAAACGGCCATTGATCAGCTGGAACGCCGTCGATGCGATTAGGAACGATGTACCGATCCATGATGTTGCAGTTCCGGTGTTCAGATCCACAGCGATCGCGGGTGTTGCTGTTGAGACGCTGGTTTGGTCGATGAATGAAACGAAGAGACAGACTGATAGTGCGGGGATTGCGATTCGAAGTTGTGTCGATGTCATGGTGTTCCTTTGGCCGCCAATGGATGCTGCGTCGCTATTGTCATCGTCGTCGTCCTCTTTCACGGTGGGCGAAGGGGATGCGCCATGAGTATTCGTTGTAGGTATGTCTGAATCGCATGGTTTGTCGTCTCTGGATGGCTTCTCAACGAGAGTATGGTCAACGCATGTATCGCTCTCTCTGATGGGGTGCGTCGATTCCATCTCATCAGTGGGGGTTTGATGTTCCCGCATCATTGGATTCTTCCACTGTCGCTACAAGCCTCAAAAACATAGCGATTCTGCGTATGTGTATATTTGGAACAAGACCAACAATCCCAGACGTCGTAGCTAGCGTAGAAGTTGGGCGTGGAGCCCCGGGAGGCTGCCCGAGCGGGACTGAGCCCTGCCATGACGCCCGTCGACAGCTACGAGATCGTCGGGAGGTGTGTTCCTCGCAGAGAAATTGCGAAAGCAGCCAGTCACAGTTGAGGGTCCCACTCGCATGGCAGAAACGCTTACACGCTTTGATGGCGTAAGTGGCATTATGGGACGAAAGCCGATGACGGTGAGGCTGCCAAGTGGGTCGTCTTAACGGGGCACGTGCGGGGCCATCTCATCGGGACTTTTTGAGCCGACGCATGTTCGGCCCCTTAGACCCTTCGCCGATGGCTGTTCGTATCGATATCGGATCATAACGCTGAAAACGGCATTGAAGGTATTCAGGCGAATTCTCGGCATCACGGCTGAGACTGACAGGTGCCATGTGTCAGGCGGGGATTCCAAGGACGGGTTGCCGATAACGACGACGGCGACCCATCAACAGGCTTGGGCAATGGCCATAATATGCGTGGTAGACCACAGCCATACACGCTGCAACCAGCAACGAAGTATTGACATCGTAGACCAGATACAGATCTTGTGAAACTGCCTGATCAGATTCTACCTCGCCTTCTAACTAGTGTATCAACGCAACTGCCAAAATGACGAAACTGTTCCAACCATTGACAGTTGGAGATGTCAAGCTGGGTCATCGTGTCGCTATGGCGCCGTTGACTCGATACCGCATGGGCGACGACTACAAAGCTACACCGATGAACAGAGGTACCTTGGACACCTTCACTATGAAGGACCAATATTAACCTGATACCGCAGAGTACTATGAGCAACGAGCATGTGTACCAGGCACCCTTATCGTCAGCGAAGCAACCATCATCTCCAGGAACGCCATCGGCGCCCAAAACGCTCCAGGAATCTGGCAAGAAGATCACATCGCTTCCTGGAAAGACATCACGTCAGCAGTACATGCCAAAGGATGTGCGATATACTGCCAACTTTGGCATCAAGGCCGAGCCGCAAGGACCGATGCGCTGGACGCAGAAGGAATCACACTGGTGTCATCCAGCGCGGTACCTATCACACCTCAAGACCGAACGCCAGTAGAGATGACAGAAGAGATGATCTGGGAAACCATAGCAGACTATGCGAATGCAGCCAAGAACGCGATTGCTGCGGGTTTCGACGGCGTCGAGATCCACGGTGCTAATGGATATCTGCCGGATCAGTTCCTCCAGACGACTTGCAACCAACGGACGGATAGCTGGGGAGGAAGCATCGAGCAACGCGCGCGATTCCACCTTGAAGTCACCAAGGCCGTCATCGCTGCTATCGGCGTGCAAAGAACCGCAATGCGCCTGAGCCCTTACAGCGACTTCAACGGCATGCTAATGGATGAGCCCGAGCCGACTTTCGAATATCTTACTGAAGAGCTGAAGAAATTGGGTCTGGCTTATCTCCACCTGATCGAAGCCCGTATTACCGGAAACGACGACTCTGAATGCGGAGGCCAGAAGACCGTACAGTGGATGGTCGAACAATGGGGCAATGCGAGTCCAGTCATGCTTGCAGGTGGTTTCCTGCCCGATTCGGCGAAGCAGACCGTTGATGAGACGTACAAGGACTACGATGTTATCATTGCGTTTGGGAGATATTTCGTTGCCAATCCCGATCTTGTGTTCCGCGTCAAGGAGAGCGTACCACTGGTCAAGTATGACCGCTCTGTTTTCTATACTCCAAAGACACCGAAAGGGTATATCGACTACCCGCATAGTCAGCAGTACTTGACAGCGGCGGCGAAGGTTTGAGATAGATATGTTTTTGATCCCAATTTTACGTGTACATTTTGATGCCCAGTTTTCTCTCGACTAGTTGTGAAGCGCGAGCAAAAGACCTACTACACTATGCTCTCAAGTGATGTCAAAGACTACGCGTCTACTACTACAATAGCCAAAAGTCAACGCAATAAGGAGCCTTGTGCGCCGTCAGCATTGGTCGGGTAAGCTTGCATCGAATGCATGAATGACGTTAATGCTAAGTTGAGTTAGATGATGAGGCGAGAAAGTTCACTCAAAGAGGCTGCACCAGAAGCCTGGAGCAAACCATATATTTTGATAATTTAATCGAGCAGTTTAGCGCCGTCCCACACTTTCAAACACATGCTGCTACTACATCGAGAGCTAGCCTTGTCGCCTGATCGTGTACAAGTACGAGATAGCTTGTATACTAACATATTTCCAAATACCTTCAGGGCTCCCTTGACCTTTCTGGTCCTTCGCATCTCATCCGTAGGTATATCTGAAACTCTCAGCAGACCTTTTAGTTTTTTCCCACAGGTCTCTGCGATACGTTCAATAGCCTGTTTTATGCATTCCACCTCGTCACGTGTTAAACCGACCTGCAGACATCCTCGTAGATGCCATTTCGTCGAATTGGTGAGACCTTGGCACATGATCGCAGGCAAGATGACGAGCTCGGATTCGACGATGTCGAGGGTGTTGTGATCTGCCAGGAATAAATCATAAGATATGTCGATAGAGAGCCGTGCTATACGATGCATAAGCTTCAAGAGAGAGAACAGCGGAGAGTCGCAGGATGCTCACGTATGTCCTTGCGTGAACCGAATGATGCCCAGATCCTATCATTATCTTCGCCATAAAGCGTTTCGAGAACGAATAGACCGCGCTGGTGGTTAGCTTCATCGGCTTTCCAGTCCTTGCGCGTGAAACTATGATCTTGATCTTCAGGCTTTTCTTGCTTCGCAAGAGATACGAAAGCTTCCATGACGACGGGAATGCCGTTGAGAATGATGCATTTGATCATGGCTTCTCTCATGCGCCGTACGAGACGTTGTCTATCTACAGACGTCTGGTATGATGGCTGCGAGATGATGTAATTGTAAAGAGAACCTATCAGCTCTGGCTGGCCGCTGGCAATAAGTGCCGCTGTCTGTCAAACACACACCATGTCAGCTTTGAACTCTCTCTCTCCCGGGATGGTCGTACTCACAGTGGAAAGATACCATCCATCCTTCCTCCATCTCTCCGGGAACTGCGCTTCAGTGTCTCTGAACAGACGATTCCTATCGATGGAAGAGCTCATTCCACGACGACGAACAGCAAGGGTAGGTATGTACTGGAGCATGGTAGATAGCTGGGAGCAGAACCTAGTGATAGGCCGGAGAGCGGTTGCTGCGGCACACATCGCGCACATCGTGATAACGAATGGTTAGCACGACACCAGACACCAGTGTAAATGGATGTGAGAGGCGGATATGAGATAGCTCTCGTTGGCAAGGGCGACTAAGAAGAGAATAATTGATTATGAATACGTGCTTCGAAGCCATGGACTTGAACGGCCGAAACAAATGATAGCAAAGGACAACAGGCAAGCTATATAGTAAGGCCATGTTGTTTCAGGCTTACAAACAGACAGTATCAAATGTGAAGAAACAGCGACAGAACAGTGAATATTATGGCCTAATGGCAAGGAAAAGTCATGTCCACGGGTACGAACTGATGTAAGACAATTATTGACTTCGTGCATCAATCTTCAAGGGAGTAACATCCCTGTACGAACTTTTGTGAGACATGGACTGACTTCGTACATCGATCTTTAGGCACTTCACGTGCACGTACCTGCCTCGTGAGATGGTCGGACCTATGGACCTCTTGCGGCACAGATCTTGAATTTGTAATCGCCTACTGTATGCAGACACTGGCACAGATGATTAGCGACCCAGTAAACAGGGTTGGTGGAGAAGTCTGGGGTTGTCATGTTGATGGGACGCGGCCCAAGCGACTAGCGTGACCGGAGCGGAGAAACAAGCAGTGGAGGTGGGATGCGACGACTGCCATCCCACTAGGTGGGCGCGCAATTCACTCCGCAACCGCGTCCCGACCCGAGCTTGCGCCTGATCGCAACGCCCCACCCCGCCGGTGGTCGCAGCCTACAAACAAGACATACAAACGCCCCAACCCTTCGGAGCTCGTCGCCGAGAGCAAGCGCAAACATGGACGACTTCAACAGTGACACGGACAGCGACTACACAAGCTACTGGCGAGATTGGGTGAGTACCTGAGCTCCCTACACTGTCACCATTGGTATTCTTTGATCGCTGGTCATGGCTCCACAAGCCTTGGGGGAGTCGAGGTGGAACTATAGGTTCCTCATGGAGTGGTATGGCCTGCCAGCCCTTCATTGCAGGGCGCGTCTGACCGTGCGCCAGCGGTGACTGCGGCGAAGACAGCTCTATCGTCACGCGGATGTGCCTCCATTCATTCGACATGGAAGATTATACTATCTTCTCGGCCAGATGGGGTCCGCTCATGCTCATGCAGAGCGAGTGGTGGTCCGACTGGTGGAACAACTACGACGACGTAGAAGATGCAGCTATTTATTTCAACGCAGGCTAACAAAAAATTAGTTCATATCTTCTCGAGGAAACGAATACTTCTGCGAGATTGACGAAGAATACCTCACCGATCGCTTCAACCTAACGGGCCTGAACACCGAAGTTCAGTACTACCAATATGCCCTCGATCTCGTAACCGACGTGTTCGACTTCGACTGCGACGATGATATGCGGGAGCAAATCGAGAAGTCGGCACGACATCTCTATGGACTCGTACACGCCCGATACATTGTCACAACTAGGGGTCTTGCTAAGATGGTACGCCAGGCGCTCATATCCTATGCCTCGCGTACACAACTAACACATCACCCAGCTTGAAAAGTTCAAGAAGTCGGATTTTGGCAAATGCCCCCGCGTAATGTGCGAATCGCAGCCCCTCCTCCCTATGGGTCAATCCGACGTTCCCAACGCCTCACCCGTAAAACTCTACTGCGCCCGCTGCGAAGACCTCTACAACCCCAAGTCCTCCCGCCACGCCGTAATCGACGGTGCCTACTTCGGTACTTCCTTCCACAACATCCTCTTCCAAGTCTACCCCGCGATGCTGCCACCGAAATCGCAGCGGCGGTACGAGCCCCGCGTTTTCGGCTTCAAAGTACACTCTGCTGCAGCGCTGGCGCGATGGCAGGCAGACAAAAAGGATGAGATGAAAGACAGGCTGAAGACGCTGAAGATGGAGACTGGGTTTGAAGAGGAAGATGAAGATCTGGAAGATGATGAGGACGACGATGATATGGAGACTCAGGAGGGCGTTGAGGGCGCGGTTTTGCAGCTGTGACAAATGGGCCTATAACGGCCTTTTTCACTGTTGTAGGTGTGGGAAGCAGATGTAGGAAGATGGAGGCATGAGTAGTTTACAACATCCTCGAGGAACTAGCATGGGTTTGGCGATAGGCGTCATGGCTGGGTGTTAAGCAGTATCTGATATACCAAACAACCTTCAAACAATGCAGATTAAGACTTGCATCATACCCGAAATAGCCCGAGTTTCACGTTTGCATTAGCATATACAGTTGCAACGTTTGCTGGCATTGAAAATTACTAAAGAAAGGGGTATCTATCCCACGTTCCTCCGCATCCCATCGGCCTTCCAGTTCGTAAGTACCCGGGAAAGACTCCTAAACCCAGGGGTATTACAAGAAGAAAGCAGCGTCGCCGAAAGACACCAAATAAGATAGAAGGAAGCGATGAAGAAGATGAAGTAGTTCTCATGAAGTAAAGTAAGTAAGTAAAGTAGACAAGAAAGATTGAGAACGAATCAAAAAGCGCCACGCAATGCTATCAAGCAAAAGATCCAAACCACGCTTTCGCTTCGCTGTCCATCCCATAATCCAAACCAATTCAAAAACATTTACACATCCAAGATAATCTTTCGTAAAACCCATATTACATCGTAACCAAAGTCCTTCGTAACCAAAAAGAGTTGTTGAAGAAGAAGAGAAGAGAAGGGCGCAGCTTAGAACATCTTCTTGAACCAGCTTCCCCTCTTGGCAGTCGGGGCACCACCATCTACGGCCGGTCTGCCATCCCAAGTCCTGACAGGTGGCTCTTCATACGCAGGCACGTAGCTTGTTCGGCGGGACGCCCTCTTCCGCTCTCTGTCGTCATCGACCGTCTTCATGCCTTCGTAGTGTGTAGCTCGGCGACTGTGTTTGTGCGTCCTATCGCGATCGCGTTCCTTGTCCTCTGCTTTACGGCGCTCAGCGCGTTCTTTATCGCGCTTGGGTCCCTTGCGGCCGGCAATGCGCAGGCGGATATCTTCGTCTTGCGAGAAGGTTTCCTCGTCTTCCTCGGGAGTCTCGCGCGCGCCGGGGGCGGGATCGAGGACGGTTTCGGAGATGGGTGGAGGGAGGGGTGGCTCGTTAGAGAGGGATTCCACCCACGAGGAGGTCTTGTCGCCGCTTTTGTTGTTGATGTACGGCATGTTCTCTTCCTCGTCGCGGGCCTGGCGCGAACTGCGGTGTTTGCGAGCCCCGCCGTTGCGCTCGTCGAAGTAGTCGGTGATGGGCTCGCCGCTGGCTGCGACGGGGTATTCGGAGTTGCGTCTGGCGGCGCGGCGCTCTTCGTGACGACGGCGGCGTTCTGCGTCTTCGTCCACGTGCACTGTTCGACGGCGCTCGGTCTTTGGGCGGGGCTCTTCGCGGTCCTTGTCTTTGCGGCGCGAAGAACGTTTCTCGCGCTCTCGTTCGTCGGATGGCGGTTTGCGCTCGCCTCGTGCCTTCTTTCGCTCCTCCTTCTCGGCCATGCGACGCAGTTGTTCCTCGGCCTCCTGGTTGCGACGCTCCAACTCAGCCATCTGACGGGCCTTCTTCTCTGCAAGAGTCGCACGCTCGTTCTCGCGCTCACGTTCGCGACGACGCTCTGCCTTGGCCTCTGCCTCCTCAAGCTCAGCGCGCCGGGCTCCTTTGTCTCCATCGCGTTTGGATCTACGCTCAGCTCGTCGAGCCTCTCGCTCAGCATCGTAGTCCTCAGGGGTGCCATTTGCGCCTGACATCATAACGTCTTCAGGAGGTGGATTGCGCAGACTGCGGCGCTCGTGTCGCAGCCGCTTTGCCTCATCCTCTGTTGCGCCTCCGCGGGTTGTCGATCGCTTGCGATGTCTGCGCTCGTCTTCGGTCTCGTAGGCGGTCCGGCGGCGCTCGCGGGGTGCCTCTTCCGGCGCAGCCTTCTTGCGGCCAAGGCCAAACATTCCCTTGAAGCCCTTCACAGCAGCAGCAGTACCTGCGACACCTGCAAGCGTGCCCATGGCATCCGAGTTACCGCGCGCACGACGAGGTCGCTCCCGCTCACGTTCGCGGCGGGGCCGCTCAGCCTCAGCTGGGGCAGGGTCCAGGTCCATGGGGTCGACGACGATGGGATCGTCAGCGCTAGGCGGTGCAGTCAAGGGTTCAAGGGGTTGCGCAGAGTCGCGCTTGGATTTGCGACGCGATGGCTCTGGACGGGGAGCTGGGGGAGGAGACTCATCGTCAAGATCTTGGTCGTCGTCGATAGGATACGGGTCTGGAACAGCTGCCATGCGGTTAGCTCCGAATGTTTGCTTACGGCTGCGCCGGCCAATGACAGGCGCATCGTGCTTAGCGGGGAACGGCTCACCTCGACTCCTCCCCTTATCTCTGGCGTCCCGAGTGCTGGTCCTGCGCGACGAGCTTTTCATACCCATGACCTTAGCGGCCTTTGAAGAGACCCTCGCATCAGTGTCTGTTTGCGGCGGCGACATCATAGCAGCGTCCTGGTCGATTGAGGGTCGGCGCGACGTCGTCTTGGGTGTGCGATGTGACTTTGATCGTGAAGGCGGGGGCGGAGCAACACCAAACATGGCACCTAGCCCAGTACCAGCGCGGGCCGTCTTGGACCGTGAAACCGTTGGCTTAGATGTATGCACCTTGTCCGAGCCTGATGAACGTGACTTGATGTCATTGTCCCGAGTGGACGAGGTTCGTACAGACTTTGTGCGATCGGGAAGGCCGGCGCCGTCTTCACCACCAGACACCCTTCTGGTCTTAGTCTTGGCTGCACCAAACAAGCCCCATCCTCCAGCGGCGGTGGTAGCACTGCGACCTAGCTTGACACGCTCTTTTCTTGGAGATTCCGACGGAGGCTCAGGCGCAACTTCTGGAGGTGGTGTAGGAAGTTTTTCGGGAGCTTCCTCGTCGTCATCCATGTCAGGGTCTGCTTCTTCAGGAGCTTCTTCGATAATGGGTTCAGGCTCAGGCTCAGGTTCAGGTTCAGGTTCAGGCTGACGTGTCCTTGTTTTGCTACTCTTCTTGGACTTCTTGAGTCTCCGCTCCTCTTTGGGGGTGAGTTTAACAGGCTCTGGCTCCGGTTCCGGTTCCGGTTCAGCTTCGGGTTCAGGTTCAGCTTCCAGCTCTGGTTCTGGCTCTGGCTCAGGTTCCTCTGCGATTGGCTCTGGCTCGGGAGGCGGCGGCGGCGGGTCGTCAAAACTGAACCCCCTCGATTTGCTGCTCTTTTTGGTCTTCTTCAACTTCTTCAGCTCCGAAAGAATAGAAGGTCCAGGTACTGGTGCCGGTTCAGGCTCAGGTTCCGGTTCAGCGACTGGTTCAGGTTCAGGTTCAGGTTCAGGTTCAGGTTCTTCTGGCGGCGCTGCATCCTCTGCATCATGGAAGTCCATCGTATCGCCTTCGTCGTCAGGGAATGCACCAGGTGCAGGAGATCTCTCGGCAGGTACTTCTGGCTCTGGATCTGGTTCGGGAATCGCTATCGGCGCTTCGACTAATTTCCCGGCCTTCTTCAACTTCTTCAGCCGCTTCTCCTCCTTAAGTTTCTCCTCTTCCAGCTTCTTCTTTTCCTTTGACGACAGCTTCTTCTTGGGCTTTTCGACCACGACAACCTCCGGTTCTGGCTCGGGCTCGGCCTCTGGAGCGGCCTCTTCGGCCTCGGGCTCTGGGGCTGGTTCCGGTTCTGGCTCCGGTTCCACATGCCGATGCTTCTTGGATTTCTTGAGTCTTCGCTCCTCCTTAGGGGTGAGTTTGACAGGCTCAGGCTCAGGCTCAGGTTCGGGTTCAGGTTCAGCTTCCGGTTCCGGCTCGGGTTCCTCGACCTCTGGTTCTGGTTCTGGTTCTGGCTCCGGTTCGGGTTCATCCCAGATGCTGGGCTTTGGTGCTTCAGGCTTGGTCTTGCGTAGAGAGATACCCCACGCACTGCCCCATCCGCTAGCTGCTTCCTTCTCTTCCTTCCTGGTAGGTTTCTCGAGCTCAGCCAACAGCGCACTTGGGTCTTCATCCTTGATCAGATCAAACAGTTCGTCGTCATTCGTAGGCTCGGCGGGTGGGGGCGGCGGAGGCGGTGGGAGTTCTTCAACAACGCCTCTCTTCTTTTTCTTCTTCTTTTCTTTCGGGGCTGGCTCAGGCTCGAGTACCATATCCTGCTCAGCAGCAATACGAGCAAACTCGGCCTCTTCCGCTTCCTTCGCAACCCTCTCTGCCTCGGCGGCTTCGGCGGCCTCGGCCTCGGCGGCGGCAGCTGCTTCAGCTTCAGCAGCTTCAGCAGCTTCACGCTCCAGTCTCTCCTTTTCTTCAGCTGCCTTCTTCTCCTTGGCCTCTCGCTCACGTCTCTGCTTGGTCGTCTCCTTCTTCTTTCCTAAACCAAACATGCCCCATCCAGAGCTTGCTTTAGCCTCTTCCTCAGCTATGCGACGCGCTTCTTCCTCTTCTGCAGCTATGCGAGCTCTTTCGGCTTCCTCGGCTTCAATGCGAAGCCGTTCTTCTTCAGCAGCACGCGCAGCTTCTTCTGCCTCAATGCGCTCCTGCTCCTCGCGCTCGAGGCGTTCCTGTTCCAGGCGCTCCTCTTCTTCGCGCTGGAGACGTTCTTGCTCTTCTTGCTCGAGACGCTCCTTCTCTGCTTGTTCGGCAGCTTCTTTCGCCAAGCGTTCTTCCTCCTCTTTCTTCTCGCGGGCTCTTCTCTCCCTTGGAGTTTCTGTTTTCTTCTTTGAAGAGCCCCAAATGCTGGCGCCCCAACCTGCCAGCTTCGAGGCTGCTGACTCCTCCTCTTTCCTCTTCTTCTCTTCCTCTTCCTCTGCCAGTATACGTGCTGCCTCAGCTTCTTCAGCCTCGATACGTGCTTGTTCAGCAGCCGCCTCTTCAGCTTCGCGAGCCAGACGCTCTTCCTCCTCTTTCACAGCAGCCTCCTTCTCCAGACGCTCCTGCTCTTCTCGTTCCTTCCTCTCCTTCCTCTCTCGCACTCTTTTTTCCGTAGGGGTTTCGTTCTTCGGCTTCTTGGAGCCACTGAGAGAGCCCCAGATGCTGCTCGACTTTGTCTCCTTCTCTTTCTTGCTCTTCTTCTTCTCCTCAACTGGCGCCGGAGCTTCTTCCACTACTGGTTCTGGCTCAGGAGGCGGTGGCGGTGGGTCGTCGAGCGAAATAAGATCCTCAAAAGTGTCATTTGTCGATTTTGGAGGAGAGCTTTGGGGCTCGAATTTGCTGAGAAGGCTATCCACAGTCCTGCCCTTCTTCTTCTTGGTGACCGTAGCAGGAGCACCCCAGATGTCTTCATCTTCGGCTGGTGGAGGGGCTTCGATTTCTTTCGGCGCCGGAAACTCTGACTCGAATTCTCCCGGCGGCGTCGGCACGTTCGGTGGAACTAGCCCCTTCTTGCTCTTCTTTGACTTCTTGCCAATGTTGAAGGCTGCACTACCCCAAGGATCATCCTCGTCGGGTTTCTGAACGGGCGTACTGGTATCCTCAATGACCTCTTCAGGCGCATCCTTCTTCGGATCTTTATTTTTCTTCTTGCTCCAGGATGGCGCGCCCCAGTCGTCGGATTCGTCTTCCTTGGGCTCTTCGACGTCCTCGGGTTGGTGAACGGAAGCGAGTTCTTCAATTATGGGCTCTGAGCTAGGTGCAGGAAGCGAGTCCAGTTCAACGGATTTACTGCTCTTCTTCTTCTTCTTTCCTCCGCCCCATATCGAACTCAGGCCCCAGTCGGAGCCCTTCTCTTCCTCTTGTGTTGGCTCAGACTCAGGTTCCGGTGGTGGTGGCGGCGGCTCTTCGACGACAGGTTCGATAAGCACACCCTTCTTGCTCTTCTTCGTCTTCTTGACAACAGGAGGGGCTGCTGAGCCCCAATCGTCCCACGGATCAGCTGGTTTATCCTCAGCCGGGATGGGCTCAGGCTCAACTTCAGGCTCAGGAGGGGGAGGTGGCGGTGGCGGAATTTCTTCCTCCGCACCTTTCTTGCCCTTCTTCTTCTTCTTGGTAGTTGTCGGAGCTGCACCACCCCAGTCGCCCCAGGTGTCGTCTTTCTGCTTAGCCTTCTCGGCTTCAGCAGCAGCGGCGGCGGCTTCCTCTTCCTCCATCTTCTTCAGCTCGGCTTCCTCCTCTTCTAAGCGTATCCGTTCTGCCTCTTCCTCTTCCTGTCGCCTGATCTCAGCAGCTTCCTCCTCCTCTTTTGCGCGCTTGGCATCTTCCTCCTCTTTCTGTTTAGCCTCTTTGTCTAACTTGGCTTTGAGCTTCTTCGCCTGCGACTTGCTGAGTCCTGCGTAAGGATCTACGACTGGCTCTGGTTCTTTCGGGGGCTCCGGCTCCGGCTCTGGTTCAGGTACAGGCTCAGGTTCTGGTTCCGGCTCGAGAGGTGGAGGCTCTTCCTTGGCTCCCTTCTTACCTTTCTTCTTCTTGGTGCCAGCGGCAGCCGCCGCTCCCCATCCGCCACCCCATGGATCCTCCTCTTTGGCAGGCGATGGCTCAGCTTCGACGACAGGTTCCGGTTCTGGCTCAGGTGCCGGGGGCTCTTCTTCAATCGCGCCCTTCTTCTTTTTCTTCTTGTCCTTGGTGGCGCCAAAGCTGAATGCACCCCATGAATCGTCTTCCTCTTTCTTCTCAGGCTCTGGCGGCGGCGGAGGGACCTCTGGCACACTGTCATCAATCAGAGCCCCTTTCTTACTCTTCTTCTTGGTCTTGGAAGCGAGTAACCCGCCCCAGCCATCATCATCAGCAGGTTTCTCCTCGGCTGGAGGACTCTTGAACGCGTCGAAATCGAAATCAAATCCGTCCTCCTTCTTTTTCTTATCTGAGCCCCAAGGGTTGTCGCCGTCTGCATTCGCGTCTTTGTTCGATGAGCCCCAGCCGGAGGTCCAGTTGCCAAGCCCGGGAAGTCCAAATCCAGATTTTGATGCGCCCGTATCACTGAAATTCATGTCAATCTTTGGTGCACTTCCTTCGTCCAGGTTAATATCGTCAAATGTTGTCGGCGGTTCCGCTGGAGGATCAGGAGGAGGCGGGGGTGCGGGCTCGGCCGTCTATGGTGAGTTAGCGCGCTGCTATGTGTAACTAAAAAGCCGAAATGACACACCTTCCCCTTTTTGCCCTTCTTCTTCTTGCCGGGAGCGGCCGCACCAAACGAGGCCCAGTCATCTGCTGCTGGCTCCTTTCCCCAACTCAAGTCAGCTGTAGCTTTTAGTATCGATGGCTTTGCTGCAGCTGCGGCAGCCGCTTCTTCCTCTTCCTTCTTCTTGCGCTCGGCCACTTCTTCAGCCTCCTTTGCAAGACGCTCTTCCTCCTCTTTCTGTGCCCGCTCCTCTTCTTCCTTTGCCAGCCGCTCTTCCTCCTCCTTTTTCAAACGCTCCTCTTCCTCTTTCTTCAAGCGCTCCTCTTCCTCCTTCTCCTTCTTAGTCTTCTTCTTCCCCTTATCCCCGCCACCATCGCCACCATCGCCTCCAGCCCCGCTATCTGCAGGCGGGTCACCCCCGCCATCGCCACCACCAGCGGCTTCCTCTTCCTTCTTGCCGTCGTCTGCTGGTGTAGCTGCAGCTGCAGGTTTAGCCTTAGCCGCTGCCTTGGCCTTGCCCTTCTTCGCGTGCGATTTGATTCCTGTCTCACTGTAGCCAAAATCGATGTCCACATATGGAGATTTCACATCAAGGAAGAACGAAGATGTTGGAGACGAATTATTGCGTTTGCGCAAACCATTTCGAACACTAGAACGTGATGACGCGCGGAAAGAAGGAAACGGTAAGTAATCAGGCGTTTTTGCATAGGCTAGCGCATCGGTGGATGTATAGTCTGGGGGCATATCTGCAATAGATTCATCGTATGAGGGTGGTGGGGATCCATAGTATCGTGGGGCTGGACTCCATGGCTCCGGGAAGGACTCGAGGGGTGATGGAGGAAACCGCGACAATTGGGTTATGAGATTAGGCCGCTGAATAGTTGTTAGAAGTTGAACCAGGAATTAAACAATGCAGAAAGCAGTTGGCAAGGAGTGTGGGTAATCGTGCACCAAACATGGACAAGAGACCAAACAAAGCAGTGTCGTCGTACCGAGATAAAACCTCTACTCGAACTCTTGTGACCAGCACTGGGGCATTCCAGCCGATCCAGCGCCTGGTACATGTCCGCTATCAACTCAGCAATGGGCCAGTCATTCTCAGACTCCCATGTTGATGTGCTTCCGGTGGCGTAGCTGCAAACATGCTCGGATTGCATATTCCGACTCTTTCTGTCCCAAGCTCGCTCAGCCGATCCAGTCCTCGAAAGCGGCAGGGTCCTTGGTCTCGCAGATGGCGCGGCGGCGACGGCGCGACGAGAGCTGACAGGAGACATTGTGCGAGTGTGAGACGCGCAAATAGAAGGAGCAGGGCGGAGGTAGGCACATGAGCGCTCGTGCGAAACCGCGAGCGTGGGGCGGCGAGGTTGCAATTACGCGGGCGGCAGGTGTTTTCGTATGCGGTACGCGGGCGGGTTGGTGCAGCGTGACTTCCTTCGTGGTCCTGGTCTGCTGCTGCAGGGTCTCGATGCGGCGAGCTCTAGTAGTACACGAGGGCAGAAATGCGGCCCTCAACAGGTGACGATGGTGATGCAATCCGGCGCAGATTACAAGGGCCAAATATTAAAAACTCCAAAACCACGCGATCGGCACAGGTCGAATAAGACGGTCGCGGTCGCAGTCGCAGGCAGGTACAGACGTATGCAGGAGACGGCCGCCGCGCAGATTCAGATTCAGTGAGCGTCAGAGGCGAAAGCAGGGGAACGGGCGTCGCGAGTGGTCACAAGGACTGTGTGGTGTGTATGGATGTGTTTCCGCAACGCCAATCGTTATCGGGGTCGAATAGGCTTTAGTCGTTGCGCGCACCAAGCCGGTTGGAGCTTGCGGTTCGTTTCATCCACCTTCGTCACACACGCGCCCGGACCAGCCGCAGGCGAGATGTCGAAAAATGAGGGGTGGCTCGTCGAGGGGTATTCAGCCGGAGCTGTGGGCGGAGGCGGGTGCTGAGGGTTGGCCCAGCTATCGTGAGATGTCGAGATACGATCAGACGCAGGGAAACGTCGATGCGCGATGCGGGCGGCAGGTTGGAGTTATTCCGCTGGGCAAAATTTTAGGGCTAGAGCCGGGGCGCATTGCATGAGCCTGTCTTGTGGATAATTCAATGTTGTGCTTCAGTTTGGAGGCGCCGGGTGCAGCGCGCAGCATGGCACTCCGGAACCCATCCATCTCTGTCTAGCACGCCCCCAGCCACGCCGCGGTGGGCCAATTGCGGAGTGTCTAGTGGGTATCCGTGCTGTTGGCATCCTTCAGTTGCAGTGGTTACCACGGCCGACCTACACCGCCAGTCCAGCGTTGCCGTGTGCGATCCAATCGTAGCGCGCTGCCGGCACACATCGCGCTCCATCGCTGAGCGCGGCAAACCTGCACGCGTCCCAGACGTGCATTAGGCCTGCCGTCGCAGCTCGTTGTCCACGATGGTACATGAACAACGCACAGCAGACTGTATTTTGCATGCATGTAATGTCTTCGTGACGGTGTTTGGTGGGGCGCTCTCCCCAAAGTTGGAGGCAATCCTCCCATGGATCTAGGTTCGTGACAGCCTCGGGAGGGGTAAATCTCGCGCCGACTCCACCCCGTCGTTCCACCGTCTTCTGACGGCTTTCTAGACACGGGCGCTGACATGACTTTGACACTCGGTCAGGCCCAACGTGCTGGGTTTGTAGATCGGTAGATTGGTTCTCGCAGCCCTACGTACATGGATGATGGGCATGTTAGATTCTAGAGCTAACAAGTACTTGCAAACGCTTGAACAGAAAACGTGTCCACATACACCGGAGTCCTGTGACCCCGCCGCTGCCTCCCGGGTATCAATACACATAAGAGAAATTATCTATAGTTCCAAAGTCGTGACTTCCTACAAAAAAAAAGACACTGCAAACCTGCCAAAGCAAAGGAAATGGTGAAGTCGAAAAGAAAGTAGGGAATGTCCCAAATTACACATGATAGGGAGTAAGCTCGTAAAAGGTGGAAACGAGTGACGCTAAACCGCTACAGTCGAGTTAGACATTACCGTAAGTCTGAGAAAGGAAAGTTCGAGGGCTAACTGCGGAGCATTAGAAGGATTGGTCATCTGCACCATCCTCGCCCTCGCCATTAAGTATTTTGCGGGCTTCATCAAGTCTTCGTCGCCATGCTTTGCGTTCGTAGGCATCGCCGTAGGTGTGCTGTAGGTTAGAGCACACATTCTGGATGCTTGCAGCAAGGCCGTAGATGAGCTGCGTCTCTTCCTCGCTGAGTGCTACCCGTGGCTCGTCTCTGGAGCCTTCTGTGAGGATGGAGTATATCCTCGAGGTTTGGAGTCCGCTGGCAAGCTCTCCGGGCGAAGACGAGCCACGTGATAGTGACCTCTGCGATGGAGACGAGCCATTGGCACGTCGCATGTTGATTGCTGAATCAGAACGCAGAGAGAGGAGGCCGTTCTGTGTCCCTGGGCGCGAGAGAGATCGGTTCTGGTTGGACAGTATCTGCTGAGAGAATTGATCCATCTGCTCGTTCTCTTCCTCATCGTCGTCGTTCTGTTCTTCAGCTGCAGTCGCAAACGTGGCTACAGTGGAGACTGAGTCAACGCTAGGATTCCGCTGGTGGAATGACGCTCTCTTCTCGCCAATGCCGAGTTCCTCCGTTGTCTGGACAGCTGTCACGGGCCGCGTAGTTGCGGCAGAGGAGCCCGAACTAGTACTCGATCGGCGATCTTCTACACTGTAAGTGCCCATGGCACTGTGCAAGAAGAAGGTCTCGTAGTCGAACGCATCTACACGGTCCTCGTGTCGCTCCGTGACTGGCATCTCGTAGACGGCGTCCTCGTATACACTCTCCGGATCGGGTACGTCATCTCCATTGACCGAGACAAAGTCTGACTCCTCTGTCTCGTCCGCATCTTCGTCTTCGTACGGTTCCGGATTGTTTGATTCAACCTCGGCCTGGTCGTATGGCTGGACAGGGTACGCGTGTCCGTTGGCCGCGCTCAGTTTGCTGAAGTGCGTCACTAACTTCTCGCCGTGCTTCTGGGAGTTGGTGGTAGTGGCCGTCAAGGGTCGCTCCTGTTCTTCGTACGGGTCTGTCGTAATGCCCAAGCCAGCATTTGTCGATGTGCTTCTTGGGTGCCATGTCTCGGAAGACGTAAAGGGGCTCGGTGCGCGTAGACTCTGTATGCTTCTGCGTCGGAGGTGGTCTTCTTGCGCCTTGAGCTTCAGACTGGAGATTCTACCCTTGAGATCGTTCATCTGGTCACGGAGACCACTCGCTGCAGATGTGGAGCGATGCACCCTCTGTCCGTCCTCATCCTCTGGTAAAGTCTCCAGCGCAGTTGGGGATCGTGAACTTCTCGAAGCGGATCTTGCAGCATACTCGCGTTCGCTACTGTTCCACGTCGAGCGAGGATTGCGGAGGTGCTCCACACTTCGAGACTCTTTGATGGGAAAACGTCCCTGACCGTAGCTTTCAGGCGACCACGGACCGCTCGTATGGCCGAATGCACTCGACGCACGCTTGTTGGATGTAGTCCGGGTCAGGTACGAGTATGAAGGCGTGAAAGGAAGTGGCACCGAGGTCTCACTCAGCCCACGTGCATGGCTGGGGCTACCGTTCGGGGTGAGGAGCGACTGTCGATAAGAATTGATGCGCGGAGGAATTGGTCCCATGCCCGCATACAGTCGCCGGTCCCGATCGCGAGTAGCCGCTACATGCGAAGTCAAGTCGGAAGATGTGTTTCTCGAGTGGAACGTGGGTGACACGACCAGTGACTCTCGTGCACCACGGAGGTTTCCTTCCATGACCTGTTCCCGTTAGCAATCGTCCAATACGTGGCGGCATCAAGAAGCGCATACGTTCAGCCGCTTCTTCGCATTGGCCAGGATTATCTCTGCCCTCCTACTCAGCGCAGCCGACGAGTATGGGTCGTCTTCGTCGTCACTGCCACTGGCGCGGTCGTCACGCCACCGCTCGCTGCCCATGCCGTTGCCGGCGTCGCTGTCCCGGGTGTGGTGGTTGCGCTTCTCCTGCTCTTCGAGGTCCACACCACTGTCCTCAAAGTTGTCGTGGCTGTCAAACCCCGGCCAGTGCTCGAAGTCTTCGCTGAATATCGAGCTGGAAGTAGGGCTGATCTTGTGCTGATCTTGCCCGTGCCAAGTGCTCGGTGAATGGCTGCTCAGGGCATTCTGGATGGTAGGCGACGAAGCGAGGGCATCGTCACGGGCAAGCACACTCTTAGTAGCCGCCTCTGAGTCGGGCATGTTGCGCAGCGTGGAGCGCGAGGACTGTGCTGATAGGGACGGGGATTTTGTCTGTTGTGAGGCGCGGCGCCGGCCCTGCGGTGCGGAACTTAATCTGACTCGGCTGGAGTTTGCGTGCCTGTAAAGGTCGGACGGCGAGGGCGGGCGCTCAGCTACGGGCGGAGAGGCAGCGCGCTCAAAGTCGGCCTCGAACGAGGGGAGGATCATGCCCGCATCGCTGAGGGTTGGCGAGCGCTGTCCATGGGGCGCAGGACGGGAAGCTGCAGCGACAGCCATGGCTACCTGCAGTGGTCCAGTTGGGTCGGCTACCTTAGCTTGGCTGCAGTACTGAGCATGTTCGGGGTCCGAGGTTTTGCGACGTGAGCTTCCAGTGTGATCCAAGTCGGTAGTGTAAGGGCAGGGAAATCAGGACTCGAGAAGTGAAAGACACCAGACGCGTCTCTCTCTGATTTTCATAATTTCAGCGTGATTAGGCCTTTGGACAGACGGCTGCATGGGCCAGCCGGCAACTGGAGGCGTCTTTAGGGGCACAGGCTAAGGGCCGACTGTTGGTGATCCCCGGCAAATTACCATCGCGGCCACGGGTGCGCTGCGCTGTGATTTGCTGTCTCTCCTATCCGGC